GTCATAAACCTCGTCATGTAGACCTGGTGGTCAAACTCCCATGACCCATCCAGACTGCAGTTCTGATGAATCCAGTGATATTGCATACATTTATTGTACTGCAAGTCACATACTGGTAAAAAAACACAAGTCTTATTAAGCTGGCAGAACCACAAGCCAATTAATAGCTCATTAATTATGAGAAAATCTAGCAGCTGTAGCAGGAAGATTAAAAAAGCCCAAAATAAAAACTACAGCGGCACACAGGGAGCATTTTCCAGCCTCTTAAGCAGAGAAGTGACTTTGTTTGACATCCACCACAGAGAGAACAAAGAAATCAATAATGTTACACCATGCTGCCATCTTAAACTGCACATTCTGAAGAGACATACAAGAAAAGGAGTCGGGTCTATAAACGTCTATAAAGACGGTCTTTCTAGTCATTTTAGATTTGCAGGGATGAATCAAAGAGCTGGGAACCTACACTCCAACAAGTCGGCCAGAGTCTTGGTCCGCAGCGCGACCGGACGTTTGGTTTTGTCGTTGGTGATGGCGAACTCCTGCATTCCCAGCTCCTCTGCCACTTTGGCCTGCGTGCGGTTGTTTACCAGCGAGCTGCGGAGGAGCTGCGGGCGAACAAACAGAGGATCGCATTTTAAAGTCCGCCTGTCAGAACACTGGAAACACCAGAGAAAGATCCACAGTGCAGAAGTACACAGAAACATCAAAATGGAAGGGAAACATGAAATAATTCATCAAAGACAGACATGGTTACGCTGAATAAATGTTTCAGGGTGATTGCACGTTAGTCTGTTAAATATTGCATTGTGACTTGGAGCTGAGCGCCTTTACAACATGTTAGATTGGTTGAAGTACATTTAAGTCCCTAAAAGGAAAAACAAAAACACTTTAAATATAGCTACAAGATGTAAATGGAATGCAATATGACTGAATGTGTCTTGCTGTGATATGCCCTCCTTAACAGTACACACGCAATCACAACTGGAGCCACAGAAACACGCACTAGTTGAATGGGCACTTTTTCTTCCTCCCGATTTGAAATCCATTTCAGATGTACCCCGTCTTGACTCTTGGGCATTGCTGGAGCTTTCAGTGTCTAAACCAAAGCTCGCTGGATGCTTTTACAAAAATTACGTCATGAAATATCCATAAAAAATAAAAATAAAAAAATAACTACAGAGGTTCTTATTCGGTTTTTAGACCAGCTCAATCCTTGCAGCCTCCAGCAGTGGGGTCCCTCTGAAGAGAAGTGCTGACGCTCGACTAAAAAGACGGCGCCGCAATGCTGTTAGACGCCGTCGGAAAATGGACTCGCGTGTTCAAAGTGTGATCATTTGCTTTGTACCTGTGGTACAAGCCGTGCAGGTTCGCGCGCACGCGACTTTATTTTTCAGACACTTGACAGCTTTTGCAAAAATGTGCCAACAAAGATGTGTTGCTGAAAACCACTGAACAGTTCCGTCTCATGACAATACCCATCACGAGGAGTACAGTAAACATACAGGCACAGCATGAGGGGGGTGAGTGGAAGAGAGCTGTGGAAGCAAAAAGGCAACAAAAAAAGAGGAAGATCACAGATTTAGGAGAAGGGAAGAAGGTGGGGAAAGAAATATCACCCCTCAAATGATGGAAAAGGCAGGAGACGGTGGAATAAAGACCAAACACGGGTGTAAAAGAGGAAGATGTGAGACGTACATGGCTGCAGGTGGAAAAAAGCCTTAGGGGAGTGTTTTAAGTGATTTGATCTTACTGTTAAATGTCCTTCATGGTGGTCAGGAAAGTGGATGAAGAGATATTCTGTGGCTACCAGCTGCATGATGGAGTCTCCCAGGAACTCCATCCTCTGGTTGTGGCCCCTGGATAAGAAAAATAAAGGTACAGCGAGTGGGGTAAACAGAGGCGAGGCATGGAGAGAAAACACAAGGTTAGCGAAGGATAATGTGGGGAATGAAACCATATGTGGGATGGGAGGAGGGTTAAAAAAAGGGGGGAACAGGGAGCGTTTCACATGAGGTCATTCATGTACACATCAATGGGGCATGAAAGGCATCGCGCTCTCTCGACAAATCTACCGAGCTTTTAGTCTTTTAACAGAAACGGCAAAGTCGGCTGATGTACATTTCATGGGTGGCCTCTGGGAACAGCTGCACTGACAGGGTGTGTGACAAGTCGGAAGCAGCCTGAAGTAGCAGGCCCTTATGAAGAAATCCTTCAGCTTTGATTGCAATTCAAATTTAAAGGTAAGAAGAAGAAAAAAGAGAGAAAAGAAAAAGTTCTGGTGCACCTGCAGGAGAGCCTGTCAAAAATCCTAAGCCTACAAAGGCAGCAACTGTGCGCGCAGCTTTAGAGAACATCTTTTAACCCTCCAACAATTCCTGGAAAAAGCTCATGGCAGCACTGTGATACTGTACATCAGCTCCCTGCCTTTCTCCACCACCAGTGAAAAGCAGGGAGGATACTGTAAATCCCCGCACAGTGTTAGACAGGGCAGGACGAGATGGGTGTGAGGGGGGGTACGCAACTGCTGTTGCTGCTGTAATGGTCATTAATTAAACAGAATTATAGATTAGCATTGCAGATGTGGGCTGGTGCCATGCCAGGCAGGCAGGAAGCGTCGGGTAGGGTGGGCGTGAGCGAGCGCCATGCAAGCGGGGAGGTATATTCAGCAGCAGAGCGCATATCCATCTATAGCTAAGAGCTCCACGCAGGAGGGGAAGTCTGAAGATGAGAGAGGAAGATACGGAGGGAGAAGACGAGGAGGTGGTTGACATCAAAGAGAGAAAAAGGCCAAAGTTTATTGTCCAATTTTTAGCGCTTCTGCCTTTTATGAGCTGCTGCCAAAGAGATCTGAGGTTAAAACAGAGCGAAACTGCAGTTAAAGCCTATTAAGCAGAAATGTGTCCGTCTAGATTTTTGATTAAAGTCTTCATTTGGTTTTTCTTTCTTCTTTTGACCAATTGTTTATCTTGAGGCGGCTGTGGTTCAGCAGGCAGAGCTGGCCGCCTGCCAATCGGAAGGTCGGTGGCTCAATCCTCGGCTCCTCCAGAACATATATCAAAGTGTTCCTGGGCAAGATACCGAGTCTGTGTGTCTTTGTGTGTGCGTAAGATAGTTAGAAAGCACTCAAAGGCATGGAATAAAGTGCTGCGCAAACGCGTGTGAATGGATGAAATCGGCTTTGAGTGCTCAGGTAGAGTAAAAGTGCACTATATAAGTACCGGCCCATTTACCATTTACAATGAAAAATATACACTAGAACTGTTGAACTGGACCGACAGTTCAATGCATCACCATGTATGAGTTTATTTAGAAAAGTATTATCAAGTGTCATCCTTTAAAAAAACGATCGTACAGTGTTGAAGTTTCCGCTAAGCCTTTACACCTGTGTAGTTGGCTTTGGGGTGTAATTATAATAATAATAATATCGCGCCATGGGCCCCTCTGGCCAACACCAGTAGGCGGTAAGTAAAGTGTCTTGCCCAAGGACACAACGACCAGGAC